TTTCTGCTTGGGAAGCAGGCTTTTTCCTGCCAGATTCGGGAAGGACCGGCTGTAGCCAGCACAGTCTGTCCTCTGCAACTGGCTATCGAAGCCATCGGTGCCGGGAGAGGCGATGGAGCAAGGGAGGGGAGGGATCGTGGTCTCCCCTCCCTGCTCCACACCAGGATTTCATTTTGCATCCCTGACTTTGCGTGAGCATCCCTGTTTTCCTCGATTGGCGTGGGGCACAGCGGAGCACTGCCCTTCTCCCCTGGGGAGAGGTTTTCTGCAGGACATGTGCTATCAATTAGGTCCATTTGTTCAACCTATGTCTGGTTTTGCTTTTGTTTCCTGGCAAAACCCAATAATAATAATAATAATAGCAATAATAGCAAGGCAGCATGCCAACCTCAGGGAGCAGATCTGCAGCCACGTCGAAGTGCCCTGGGTTAGACAGACAGGCGAGGCACAAGCATTGCCCTCTCTCCCTGACACTGTACTTCAGGTAACCCCCCTTTTTTTTATTAATGTTTTTTTCAAGTTTCTCAAGTTTCAGCTCAGGACAAATGAAAACATGCAGATTTGCCGGCGGTCCCAGATGCAGGATCAGGTTTTAGTTTCCTGAAGGCGTTTGCTGTGCACTGCCCAAGCCATCTTCCATCCCCGGGCTCAGCCAGGGATGGGTTTGGAGTGAAGAACTCGGTGGTTTGGCTGGAGCATCACAGAACTTTCCCTCTCAGCAATTCCCCTTACCTATTAAATCATGTAGAGAGTTTAGCACTTGGTCTTGCTGCAAGAGCTGAAGAGGCTGGAGATCTTGTTGTCCCATCATCACCATCCATGCCTCATGCTACTCTGCCAAAGGGGTAAATTCAATTTTCACACCATTTTTACTGCCAGGGTGTAAATAAAACCCAGTAAGCTGCAGGTCTGCCCTTCTCCAGATTGAGACATATCCTGGGAGCTTGATGGGGACTCCTGGGCATGACTCCTTGGCCTAAGGGGATGCGTCTCATGCCCATCCATCTGCCACCTTCAATTCCCTGGCTGGTTTTAACCCCGGGTTAACCCCAGCAAAGCTGAGGTTTCAAAGCTACAGGTTTGCTTCACGTTTACTGGAGCTGGAGGGTGCAGGTGAAGACACATCAGTGTCCCCTGAAGGGAAAAACAGATGGCTCAGCCTTTTATTAGACATCAGAGAATCCAAAGAAGAGAAATTCATAGTGAAGAGAAGCAAAACACAAAACCTTTCAGTGTCAGAAAACTAGGAAGGCAGTGTCTAGAAAACCAGGAAGAGGTGCCAGCCTCTCATGATGCTGGGAAAAGCTGCTCCTTCCCCTTGGACACAGCACACAATGCTCCCTATCATTCCTCTGTCACTGGGAGGATGCTCATTCAGCTTCAGGTTTGACAGGGATGCGGGACATCACCTGCATCACCCGCCTGGTGCCAGGTGTCAGTGTCTGGCCCAGCCCCATTAAATCACATCTGGCTTTCTTGACACAACCTCCCCCCCGCAAACAGCCCCCCACGCCAGCCTTCCCTTTGAGCAGGTGTTCCTGGCATTGGCACTTGGTGTCTTCCTCCCTTACCAGGTAAACACTCGGGGTTTTGGTCTCTCCGAGTGATTTTTTAAGGGCGTTTGGTTAAAAGCGTGGCTGTCAGCTGGTGCTGGAGGAGCAAGGTGTTAGTTTTAACTCGGATTTCTGCTCCCTTTCTGTTCCTAATAAAGCTGTTTGCAGCTGGAGCCTTTGCAGCGTGGGGTATATCGGGGCTGAAATGGAACTTTCTTGTGGGAAGGGGGATCCTTTATTTCCCCATAGGAGCTGGTGAGGGGGAAGATGCTCAGCTGGGTCTGTCCTATTTGTTTCTTTATAGTAATGAAAAGCAAAGCCAGCTTGCCCCTCAATAAAACACATTAAATCTGCCAAATCATTACAATGTAGCAGGGAAAAATTGCGTTGGCTGGGGGAAATGAAATACCAGGCAGTCTGAGAGCAGCAGGAGTGAGACAGGGCATCCCTGAGCAGTCATGTTGCGTTAAAAGGCAGGGCTTTATTTTGCTGTTGGCCCCAGTGTAACCGGGAAGGAGGGCTCTGACTCAGGGAGGGTGTGCTGGGAATGGCAGGAGGAAGGCGCGTGGTTTTCCGGGCACCTGGTGACCCGGCAGTCCTGCCAGGTCCGCTCAGCGGCAAAGCTAACCTCGCTCATCCTGGACCATCCCAAGGTGATGTGACAAGGGGCTGAGACGGAGGGTTTGTCCGCACACGGAGCGGATGACTCCGGAATAGCACTCCGGGAAGGGATGGTCCCGGACACTGGTATGTGCAGACATGGTTGTTCCAGGATATGAGAGCACCGTTCCAGTTTGCATTAATCCGTTTAACCCTATAGTGCTCTCACCCTGACAAACAAGCATCCCGGTTTCAGGCCAAAGGAAACCAGCCTCGTGTATTCAACTTCCCGGTGCAGGCGAGCCCCGGGGCTTGCATGGACTGATCCACCACCGGCCTCTTTCAAGGATGGGTTTTTTCACCTATAACAAACCCAGGAGCAGAAGCAAGTCAGAACAAACCTTGTTAGGCTCTCAAAGTGACTTTTTCTTTCCTTCAGTTAATGAGCTGAGGCTTCAGAGAGGTTGTAAGACAAGAAATGCTCTGCAGCCCCCGACATGGACACAAACATTTTTCGCCAGGGAACCAAGCGTAACTTTAAATACGGTTTTATTTCAGGTTTGCTATCGACGCACAAACAGCAGAGATCGATGTTTAGTATACATGGTATACACAACGCAGCCAGTACGATCGGCATCTCCGTCCTTTTGCTGCACACTTGGCAAAAGAACCGCAACACAAGAAATCCCTCCCGCCCTCTCCTTCTCCCTCCCCGGGAAGGAGGGTGACGATTTCTCGGTGGCTTGGAAACCATCTGTAGGATGGCAAAGACAAAAAAGGCAGCTCCTTGGAGCTCTGTCCCCAAATGAAAGTTTTGGTGGGCTTGGCTACGCAGGAAAACCCTCTGAAAATGGATGGGAATGGAGACGTGGAAGGGATTTCCTAGAACATTAAATCCCATCCCTTGCTGTGCAGAGCAACCGCAACATCTGCTTCTGGCTCTGTCGAGCAGCGTGGAGACCCAAAATATTATTGTGTTCAAAAAGACGTGACATAAATCCAGGGAGGATGCATCCACAAATTTGTCATGAGGAGTTTTCCAAGCTGGTGGAAAGGTCTAGCAAAAAAACCTCTTGTGCTACCGCTGTCCTGCTTCTTGTGATCTTCCCTGCCTTGCCCACATCTGGAGACCTTTTGGAGCAGACCAAGGGGCACAAGGAGGTTCCCAGGCTAAATCTGTGTGGGACTGAGCGAGCAAGGTAGGCTCCAAGCCTCTAGCTGCTGAGACAGCGTCTTCTGCCTATCCTTAATGTGCGTATCATCCCTGTGGTCCCTGTCTGCTGATCCCAGCACCGGCACAGCTTGACTGAGAGACTCTGGCTTGCTCACGGCCACAGCAAATTGCTTAAGAGGCACCTTTGTCAGTGGAAAAGCAACAAGTGAAATGCTCCCTGATGATTTTGATCTAGCAGAAGACCAAAACGATACATTAAGGGTCGCTGGGAAGAGGGCTGTGTAGAGGTAAGACAGCCTCCGACCGCGACGGACACGGTGCTACGGAACCGCCGGAGACACCGAATAAACCCTTGTACAAATCCCTGGAGAGGGAAGCCGGTTGTAGATGCTCTGCAGCAGCAAGTTGTTCACCCCTGCTCCTTTCCCTGTACACCTGAACCCCACTGAGTCCCTTTCCCCCAGGAAAACCCAAGACCCAAATTTATCTCCTGCTCCCGCAGCTCAAAAGCGATGCTGGGGATGTCAACGCCAGCTCAAGTTCAGCTCAGGATATCTCTGCAGGGTTTAGCGCAGAGGAAAAATACCCCAACCAAAGGCTGGAGGGCGGTGGGATGTCAGGGCACTGTGTACTGGTCCCATTAAGGAGTGAGCACCATTTCCAGAGTGGAGTCAAGTAGTGGCAACTCACGGGGCTGCATCTAACCCCGTACAGCACCGTGCTGTGTTACTACAGTACAGTCGCTTTTTTTTTGGAATGACAGCTCAGATCTCAGGTCCATAGCAATCCCTGAAAAACTTCAGGCGGGCAGTTTTACAATCTGCCCTGGACCGGGATGTAAAGGAGCATCCAGCTATGCAGTGGATGCTGGCACAGCCCCATCCCAAAGCACCATAGGGAAACCTCAGCTAGGAGAGAGAGCCCACTGGGAACAACGCCATCCCCCCCACACAGTTTACATCCATCGGTGGGGAAAGGAAGGAGGTTAAAAAAAAAAATTACAGAGTTAAGCACCATAAAATCTACACTGGTCAGGTCATAAACATGAGGAGAAAAGGAAAATAAAGCCACCACCTCCCAGCCTGGCCCAGGCATGCTGCTGGGGAGCACCCCAGGCTGCGAAGCCTTGGATGTGGCCGTCCCTGGGAGCCCCAGCACCCCATCCCACGGGTGGCTGGACAGCATAATTTGCCGTCGTTGCATTGGTAAATCCTTTTGGTCCCATTCAGCACGAGTGTTGGGGAAGTCCAGGGAGGGGGGAGGTAGGCCTGGCCCTGGGAAGATTGGGGAGGCTTCCACTGTGCAATTTAGGGGCATCTCCCTGCCTGTTCTTGGATCCATCCCGGGCAGCGATCCCCCTCGTTTCCATCCATCCCCCTTCCCAATCCCCAGCCTCTGATGGTGGGTTTCCATATCGTTTGGCGGCTTCGAGGTAGATGTTCGTTTGTTCCCACTCTGTCTCCGAGTGATTTGCTCAGTAAAATCCCTCTCTCCCAGACACATGGGATGTGCGTGTTCTGTCCCAACACCCAGGTCCCTTTTTTCCTCTTTGTTTTTCCCCCCGATTGATATGTGCTATGGACATCTCCCCCTCTCCCAAGCCCTGGCTGCTGCTCAGCCGCAACCAGCCAGAGGAGCACCATGACCTTCCTCACGGACACCCCTCGACCTGCTCAGCACGGCCTCAAGGTGCAAAAATCCAGCTCCTGCGGCTTCCTCCGAAAATTGCAACTCTCCCGGGGCAGCAGGCGCCCGGTTGGGACCAAGCACTTCAGTGCCCGTCTCTTGAAACCCCGACCGCAGCTCTTGGAACAAGGAGACCAAGGTCCAGCTTCCCACGCCGGGCAGGGCTCCCCACACAGCCGGACGTCGGCCGGTCGCTGTGCCGCATCACACTCGGCGGCCGGTTGGCCGTAGGAGTCATGACAAGCCACCGAACGCTTCTGCAAGCCATCTCCGCAGGTGACGGAGCACGCTTCCCAGCCGCCTGCCGCCCACTTGTAGGAGGGACGCTTGTAGCTCGGTCTCCCACCATCCAAGCGGTTGGAGAGGCTGAGGATGCTGTTGTTGAGGTCTGGCGGAGTCTTTCCCTCCTTCTTGTAGGAGGACTTGTCCTCCTTGCTCTCCTTGGGGAGGTAGAAGGAGTAGCGTACCCGGGGAGGGGTCATCTTCCCCACGGAGAGCACCTCCAAAGTCAAGGGTTCCTGGATGGGCTTGAAGGCTTGGAGGCTCTCGACAGCGGTTCCAGTGCCGCTGTACCGCAGGACGCTGCCCTTCACCATCAGGTCCCTCTCCACGGCCGAGACGATGAAGTGGCCATTCAGCAGGTACTTGCCCTGCCCGTTCTTCAGGGCCAGGTAGTTGTCGTCACTGATCAGCCCTTTGTAGCCCCGCTGCCTGATGTCGATGTTGGAGGCGCCCGCCGGGATGACCACCACGAAGTTGTAGCCGTGCCTGGAAGAGAAGAGCAGGCATGACAGGCCATCAGCACGGGGACACGAGGTGGCCTCAGCCTGAAGCTCTGCAGCTACAGCCCTGAGAGCTTCCCACCCCTATGGTTATCTCCTCCCTCCCAACAGGATAAATTTGAGTCTCCTCCCTGTGCTGAATTTTGACTATGCTGAGGTCACCCAGGTAGGAGAAGATGCTTCAGCTCCTCTGGCTCAACAGCGTGGATGGACCGGAGATAACTCCATCCGCAGAAGCCAATAGCATGTTGGATGTATCCTGCTTCTCCTTCAGAGCCAGCCCAGGTCTCCATACAGGGACATCCACAAGCATCAGGAGAGTTTGCTCAGGGTGGACTTAGCCCTCAATCTCCATCACCTTCCTGCATCCCCCCTCCCAGCCCAAAGCAGAGCTGGGTCCCCTGACACTTACATGGGTTTGGTGAACAAGCCCGAGACCTTCTTGCAGCTCCTGTTGTCTCCTCCGCAGACGCTGCATTTGTCGAACTTCTTCTTGGAGCCCAGCTTCCCATCACAGCCCGCTTTGATGCATTTGCCCTGGACGCAGACCGAGGTGGAGTCTGGGGAGCAAGGGGTGCCGTCCACAACCTGCATGAGGGGGAGCAAAACAAGCTGCTGAGTTTCACTCTGTCATTCCACAAACACCCCTGACCTTGGCCATCCCACCCGGGGCTGCCCGAATCCGTCTGACACATCCCAAGGAGATGCTAGCGGGCACCACATCGCCCTTTGCTCATGCTCTGCTTTGCAATCACACTTTTTAGGGTCTCTGAGAAGAGCCACATGGGACTACATCCCTTTTCTGCTGCATCTCCATAATTTTCTGCCCTTCCTGTTGCACTGGTGGAAAAGGGAACAGGCTGCAATGGGGAGACAGCTACGACCACTCTGCTCAGCCCAACATCTGGCCGCCTGCCCTGTGCAGCCATCTCTTCCCCAGCATCCTAATCATCATCCTGTATTTCAGGGCTATGGGCGTACCCCAGAGGCACCTTTACAAATCCATAGGAAGACCCTCCATGCACCAACTCCATCCCTGAAATAAGTGGACACACAGAGGCTGATTCATACCAGCTGGGTGGATTCCCTTCCTCTACCACCTCATCCAACACCAGCTGCCCATAGGAGAAGGAAAACTCATTCATTTCCAGGCATGCTGTAATCATCCCACAGCCTGGACGCTGACCCCGGGGATCCCTCACCAACCTTGGGTGCCAGCACATAGAAGTAGCCAGTGCCATTAGCCCGGCAGATGAGCTTGCACTTATCCCGGGGTGAGACGCCGGAGTATTTGGGGACCCAGGAGACAGAGGCGGTTAGGCGGTTGGTGCTGTGGCTGTAGCCATTGAAAGCCTCACACTGCTCCTCACGGAAGCTCTTCCCTGGTACTGAAAGAAACAGGGATGGGTGTGGGATTGGGGACCAGCCTGGACCTCCAGTGTTGGTTTGACGGGGTTGTTATGGGTCACGCACCCGATCGCGAGCGGCTCCAGCCCCTTACCTGCAGCAGAGCAGGGCTCCAGGTTGCAGGAGCGGTACTTGACGCGGACACCCTCGCAGTAGGAGCCCCCGTTGGCGGGCACCGGGTGGGTGCAGTCCCGCTTGGCCAGCTGCACGCCGCCACCGCACGTCCGCGAGCACTGCCCGTAGGGTGCCCACTTGGCCCAGCCACCGTCCACCTGTGGGGATGCAGTGGGATAAGATGCTGCCATCCCAAGCCGGGGCTCTCCGGAGCCATCCAAGCAAAGCCTCTAGCCCCAAACCTGCCCAGGGCTGGATGGAGCGGAGCAGCATCATCCCTCTTGGAGAAATATGCAGTACCCAAAGGACCTTTTAGCATCGATATCCCTGGCACCCGGAGGAGGGGTCATGCTCACCCAGCACCCACGCAAAAACTCGGGGCAACCCCGTGGGATGCTTTTGGGGCTCGTGGCGCAGGTACTCACCCTGTACTTACTGATGTTATGCCTCTCAACGCAGGCACCCTTCAGGCAGAAACGCCCTTCGCCGCAGCCCGTGCCGTCCGCCCAGGGGAAGTGACGGGTCTGGCAGACGATCTGCCCGCGCGCCTTGCCCGTGCACCAGAGCTTGGCACAGTACTGCATGTACGGGCAGGGCTTGGAGCCCACGCCGAAGGCCAGCTCGCACTGCTGGTTCAGGCTGTAGCTCGTCCCCGGCAGGTCTTCGGGAAGCGGGATGGGTTTGGCAGGCTGGGCCAGCAAGCAGTCTCCTGCGGAAGCGGGGACGGAGGGGTTCTACTTCACAAGTTGTAGGGACCAGGGAGGGAGACCATCACTGCGGCAAGGTGAAGGACGGCTGCCAGGAATTTGGCCAAAGCTATCCAAGCCCTCATGACCGTGGGACCAGGTGCTGCCCCAGGGAAGCATCCCAGACCCAAGTGGTGCTGGGTAGAGCTGTGACAGCAACCTCGGGGCAGATGTCACTGCTGGGGACACCCCCACATTGCCAAACTCCCCACTCCCTTCTAACTTTGTGGAGGTGGGAGGAGAGTGGCATTACAGCCCATCAGCCTCTCCCAGCAACCAGCCCCAGGGATGGATCCCACTCCTACAGGGACAGGGACATGGGTAAGAGGGCAAGGGGCACGGGAGAGCTCACCATGGCCGCTGTCGAGGAAGTCTGTGATGATGGCAGCACTGCAGGCTGACCAGGGGTTGGCACGGTCGATCTGGATGAGGGTGGGGGACATCATGTGGTTGGTCTTCAGACGGCCAAAGACCTCCTCGCAGGCCTTCACGTTGTCATGGGGCATGTTGAAGACGTGGCCTGGGGTGGCGGGGACAAAGAGGGGCAGCATGAATAATCCCACCAGGCATGCAGGTTAGGGCCCCTGCGGATTTTTGCAGTGGGGGAAACTGAGGCACGGAGCAGGGCAGGCCCTTGCAAGGATTGCAGGAGCTATGTGCAGCCCAGGAAGCACCCAGGGAAGGACGATGCTCGCGCACACCCCGGCTGGGACTGAATGGGGATGCTGGGAGCTTGCAGGACTGGCACACATGAGTCACCCTGCTTTTTGGCACGCTGTCCCAGCCGCTGTGTGCGTGGCCATCAGCAGAAAGAAAAGACAAAGGACATTGCGAAGACAAGGAGATTCAGCATTTTCCCCCCTCCTCCCTCCTCCTGCCAAGCACCACAAATGTCTCCGGAGGTAGGTGTGCCCTCTGCCTGTTATTTCAGGATTCCCGAATCCTGGAAACCCAGCAACAAGAGTAAAGCCTTTTGCTTTCTCAGCAGCTCTTTCCCACCCATCTCAGGGGGTCTCGTGCCCCAAGGTGGAGTTTCCCCATCACCGGATACCGGTTATTGTCTAATCTTTCGGAGGCTGAAGCTGGGGTTATTCTGAACCTTGCTGGCTCCTGGTATTCCTCCCAAGAGGAAGAGCAGAGCGGAGAGTCTTACCGAGCTCGTGGGCAGTGGTGAAAGCTGAGGGCAGCCCATCGTCCTCGATGACGGAGCAACTGCGCTTGGGGTCGCACATGGTGCCCACGTCCGCCATCCCCAGCGTGTCGCAGGTGGTGGCACCGCACAGGTCCTGCGAGGCACAGGGGCAAGGGATTAGTCCCAGCACCAGCGTGGGCATCGTGGTTCCCCATCCCCGCTACCCCACGGGGAGCTGATCCCAGGCTTCAAGGGAGGGGAGGGAGGCCAAAGGGATGGGGACTGCACCAGGCTGTGGAGGTGAGAAACCTCACCCGGACCGGGATGCAACGATGTGTTTGCATGTAAACCTGGCACTGGGGATGCTTTTTGTGGGCAGCATCCTCCCACATCTCCAGCAACACCCGAACGGCTCTGCCGGCCAGGGTGGAGCTGGTTTCGACACGGAGGAGTCAGCCTGGCTCCGGTTCTGCAGCACGAGGACCAGACCCATGCGAGTGGACAGGAAAGCACCTGGCCTTCGCTGGCAGCTAAGCTGTTCCTCAACCTCATTTCTCAACTTCTTCCTAGGAACAAGGAGCCCCTGGACCTGGTCCAGAGGTTCTCAAGGCTAAGGGAAGTGCTCCTGTCTCTCCAAGACACTTTGCAGCCATCCCTCAAGGAGCAACCAAGGCCAGCTGCTGGAAGGAGGAGCCAGCCCAGCCTTTCACCCCCAACACGAGGACCTCACATCGATACAGCCAGGACAGAGGATGGGAAAAGTCCTGTTGTAGGTGGATCTGCCCTTCTTTGGGATCCGAAGGTGCTCATGCAAATGAAAAGTCCCTGTTTGAAGAGGCACTGCCACTGCAGCCTTGTCCTCAGATGCCTCCTTTCCCTGCTGCGGTCTCTTGATGGTTTGGGAGGGCTGGAGCACCGTCCCCATCCCTTGGTGCCGTCCCAGCCGTCTGGGAGCTGCAGGAGAGACCATGCAGGGGGCAGGGACCAGCTTTCCACATGAAAAGAAAACGTAAGGGACTTGCCGGGCGCTCCCATGCTATAAATAAGCGTGATTCATGCTCGGCGCTCGCCCAGCCAGAACGCCTGGGTTGCTCGAAGTCTCGCATCAGCCGCTCTGCCAACATTTCCAGCGAGGTTTCCAAGCTGAAGGCATTCCCGCGCAGGCAGGTTCAGCCGTGGGTAAATAACAGTCCCGACGACTTCAGGGAGCCCCGGCCAGGGCTGAGATGGCTTTAACAGGAGGCCTGTGGCTACGAAGCCTGGAGGCACAGACAAGACCATGATCTCTGGAGAGGCGAGGCAGAGGAGCGCCTGGGTCTGGGCTGGCTACTGCGGCTGGTGGAAAAACCCATGGTACAACCGGGTTGCAACAGTTATTCCTCGTCGGAATCCCTAATGCATTCCTGATCCCACCACGCGTCGGTTCTGGACGGGACAAGCAGGTGGCAACCCCGCATCCAGGGTGGCACGGGCCACCCCCAGTGAGCGCGGGGTGACTAAACGGGGATGGCAAGCGTGGGCGCAGGGTCCCCTGTCCCAAAATGCCACCAAGAGCCAGTGCCATCACCACGCTGAGCTAACGCAGGGATGCAGCTTGCCCGAACTCCCCTGTCCATCCTCTCCCCTGTGGCAGTGCCAGCGCTGGGGGTTTGGGGGTGAAGGTGGGGTGCAGGGGCAGGGAACAACACAGCACCAAGCTCGCTGCTCTTTGAAGATTTGCCATTTCCTTGCTGGCGCAGTGAGCTTTTGGCTCCCGGCCCACCACCTGCACTGACACACTGACCCGCTTCTTGCTCTGAACCTCGCTCACGGGCTGCAGGGATGCATAAACGAGTGGGGCAAGCTCGCTTTGAAAGGCTGGCCAGCATCCCTGGGCTCTAACGAGGGGTCTTGACCCCCACGGAATACCTCCTCCAGCTTTGCCGGGGGTCCAGCCTGCTCAGAACAGGAGGCAATGCAAGGGGTGACATGAGGATGGAGCTACGGAGGGGAGGAAAGAGAAAAGCAAGAGGTTTAAGGTGGGGAAGCAGAACGCAAAGGGCCAGCTCTGCCTTTGCGCAGTGGTCTCACCATCACCGACACCCCCGCTGACAGCCCAAATAAAGGGAGGATGCCCAGTGCCCCTCACACGACAGCGAGGGGCTGTGAGCCACCTGCTTGATGCCCCACCAGGGCTCTCCTGACAGCCTGACCTTCATCCATGGGCACTTCATCCCCTCAGGAACTTCTCGAGATGTCCTGCAGGTGACTTGGGGGGGATTCTTGTGGCTAGTTCCCAAATTCACCTACTCAGAGGCCAGGTCATAAGGGCTCTTCCAACCGTGGAAGCTTCCTACGTGTGTCCAAAGCAACCCCAAAAATCTGAGCGTTGAGCTACAGAGTGTGATTTTCCAAATTCCCCCATGGCACCTACAGCCAGACGTTCCTTGATGCCACATCCTTTCGGTTTTACAGCAAGGTGAAGATGCTCAGCAAATCTTGGCTGGTGGGACATCAAAGGTCAGGATGGGTGGGAAGCTTGGCCAAGCCCTTTGCCATGGTGTACAACGCTAGTTCCAACAGCACAGTCAAAGGCTGGATGCTCTGCAGGACCCCCCCAACAAGTGCTGGCTCAAGTCGGAAGGTGAAGGTCCCACGGCTGTGGCTGCTGGCAGATCCGCGCCCACCGGCTGAGCAGGACCGAGCTCCCCAAAGGCAAATCCGCAATCCAGCACGACCGACGCCGTGAGGGAGCAAAGCCGACCGGGAGAGGACAGCCCCGTTCATCAGCAACTCGTTGACACGACTGGAAACTGCCTATCAACTGGGCTTGAGATGAAATTTAAGTCGGGGGCTTATGTAACAGCTTTTTGGCAGGGAGATAAGCCCTGGGGTGTCAGGGGACCACAGATGGATGCACTCAAGGAAGACAGATGTCTCCTTGATCGTGTGCCTTTGCACCGAGCTTGCTTTGGGATTTCAGGAATGGATGGTTTAGCAATGTGTAAAAAATGCAGCCCCAGCCGTGATCTGCAGCTTTTGAATCGCCGGGACTGAATCCATCCCACGTGTGGCGCCGGTGACCTCGCCGGGTTTCCACCAGAGATGGAGCTGGCTCGTCCCCACAGAGGTGTCAGCTGGCTTCCTTTTCTTGCAGCGTGGGGTTCACCCCTGCCTGTGCTCCGGCAGGATTTACAGCCCACTGGAGGGCACGGGGGGGGACGGGGTGGGAGGAGGTCTCAGACATCCTGCACAGCATCATTCCTGTTCCGGGCCATCATTAGCCAGCGCTGACCCCAGGCTAGGGACAGCTGAACCGAGCTGGACACTACATCCTTCCCACCCACAAGTGTTAGGCCTGGAAGGAGGTTTTGGGAATGGTCTCCCTGCTGTGGAGGGGAGTTCCCAACCTGTCCCTAAGCCAAAGACATCACCACTTCATTGTCACCCATTTCATCAGGGTGGGGAGAGGGAGAGCGCAGCCGTCACCCCGTTTTGCCAGAAGTGAGCCACAGGTAGCTCGGCAAAGCCCTTCTCCCACTGCAGGGATACAGCCAG